CATATGTTGTACTACAAAGAGGAGTACGTACTGCTTTAGTTACAGGTTCAAACAAACCCAGTTAACTTGGCTCAGACCCTACATATGTGTTAAAAGTATTTCTAAATGATTACATATTATTAATAGGTTCCGAAACTTGGTAAATCAAATGGGCTGTGCTAGAATGCCGAACTCAAAAACCATAATATTGAAGTCCTGAATCCACCTTTGGTACAATCTTTATCGTTGGATCAAAGTCGTGGGTGCCATGGGTGTATCCAATCTTACCGCAGCTAAAATATATAAAGCCTGCACCCATGTCACAATGGAGGAGTAATTTCTAGAGGCAGATTACAAGGTAAGATATGAGCTCAGCCCAATGTAGTAGCTTTAGTCCAAACTCGTGCTAATCTTTTTTTATGACTGTGGTGTCCGGGCACCTCAACTAATTTCACTACATACCTACCACCTCCAGCCTCCCACCAGCTCTAGTACCTTTATCCACCAAGGCTTTGAAAGCTGGGAAGAAATCACCTAGTACTATTCAAGGATCGAAACCAGACTCTCAGAGTTAAAAATCATCACAAACATCAAATTTGGAACCCAATTACTCAAATTATCAATAAGTACCTAAAATTCATAATAAAGTTCAAATCTTGGATCCACCTCCACATACTCTATAGCTACAAAAACTACTCCATAGGATCTATCAATTGGAACTACAAATCATTAATACCCTATTTGTAACAACAGATAATCAACAAAAGGGGCAAAAAAAAATTTATACCGTTTTGGAGCGGCAAGGCTTGCCGCAAGCAGTACAGACGAGATTTAGAACAGCTTCAGTAGATTCAGAGAAGTTAGCATGGGAGGTAACTTCAGCATGTTCTTGTGCTTCTGCTACAGATTTGAATAGAGTTCCACAATCACCACACTGCAGTGATACACCTGACATTGCTACAAATTTCAAAATTGAATTGAACTGAATTGCGATTTGACAAACACAAACACAAAAACGAGATCTATATAATCTTTTTCTGATTGTTTTGGTTGAATCGTCGTCAATGGGGTTTGGTGTTCATTGTTGATAGGAGACGAAAAGGTTTATTGGTTTTATATGAGTGGTGAAGAATTGGGATTTGAAAGTAAATTTGTAGTTAACTAAGGAGTTCGGTTTATTTTTCCGATAGATTAATAGCGTTCTTACTTATCTTCGAAATTATTTATGATGTTGCACTTATCGAAAGTTAATTTGATTAATTTTTAAACGTAAAAGATAACATTAATTTGATATTTTAAACAAAAAAGTTATATATTCTAAAATTATATGAAAAGTACTATAAATTATAATTTTTTATATTAATATATGATGAAAAAATGTATCTTGAAATGTTAGTTAAAGTTTTTATAGTTTGATTCTAAAAATAGAAATCATGACAAATAATATCGGACGGAGATAGTAAAAAATAATGATGTATTGTGTCAAGTAAGTTGGGACAGATTATATGTAACGCTTATGTTACTTCGTTTAAAACTCAATTTAGATCAAATTGTTTTAAGAGAATTGTCATGAAATTAGTCATTAGTCCTCCTATCTCGTGTAAAAGCAATCAGAATTTGAGCACGATCTTTGTTATATTCGCTTTTTCACTAAAGTACCGAGAAAGCGATCAAAATTCGAACAGTTTCTTCGTACATCCTTTTATTTTACATAAAAATGATCAAAATTTGAATATTTTCTTTGTTATATCTCCTTTCTCGCGTAAAAGCGATCAAAGTGAATGCTTTCATTGCTACATCCCCTTTCTCATGTAAAAGCAATCGAAATTCGAATAATTTCTTTGCTATATCCCCTTTCTTGTAAGAATTCAAACATTTTGTATGTTACAGATAATAAAAATCATTATTTTAGACAATCATATTAATACTCTTTTTATCACAATTTACTTGTTTCATTGCTTTGAGCAATGAAACAATACTTTTGACAACACTTGTCATCATAGCATCAAAATAATACAAAATTTCACTAAATCAAGTCTTCCTACAAAAATTGAAAATTATAAACTAGGTGAAACATCAAATATGTTGCAATTAAGCTTGTCATGCTCCAAAACTTCGGATAAGTACTTGCTTTCGAATCTTGAGAGTCAGGATCACTCGATTCCGCGGTAATTGGTGTTGTCCTGTTAGCATAAACAGGGTTTATAATTGCTTGTGGTGGTGAATATAGAACAGGGGTGGTCGTAACTCCTCCACCTGTGTCGTTATGACCTCCGATTCCGGGAGGAAGTGGCCCTCCGGCAGCCCTAATCAAAATTCAAAAATATCAACAACATAATAAATAGTTTAATTCTATACTAGAACTATAGAGTGACTAGTGATTTTAAAAAAAGTACATGAAATAACAAATCTAAATTTTTCACTAATGGGTTCAAAAATCTGAACCTCCAAAACTAAGTCAGTTTCTGATCTTATGTTTTGAGAGGTTCATATTCAATATATAAGTATATACATAAAATAATTTAAAGAATTACGTATTCATATATTATATATATTTTTATGAAGTTCGAGTGAACCTCTCGCTATCCTCTAGATCCGCCCCGAAAACATAATCAAACACATTTCCACATAATAAGGCACTATAGACATCATTATACACAAAAAGCTAACACTCCACAATGCTCTTAAACCCCCCCAAAAAAACATTATCTCCATCCAACACCCAAAAAATAAAAAAAGTTTGCTTATGGTATTTTTTTTCTAACTTTACAGCCCAATGTTCTTTATTTCTTTTTAAAAAGGTAGCATTATTTTGGGTTGCTAATAAAGTGGAAGAAAAAACATCATTTTCAAGAGAAAAAAAAGCTATAAAAAATGATCAAGAATGAAAAAAAAAAAAAGGTGAAACAAATAAGTAATAAAATAACATACCTTGGAGAAGCTGGGTAAACACAAGATCCATAACCTAAAATGTAAAAATAAGAAGAAAAAAAAATTAATCAACTATTACCTATATCAACCTATACACTGAAAATTCAAAAAATTAATTATTTATGTTAGTGTACATAAATTAAAGAGTTCAAATTATATATACAATCAGTATCGAAAAAACTTTTTACTTAATCAAGTAACTTTTACACGTTATTATATCAAGTATGTAACTTATTTTAATTCCAAGACTTCAAAATCTTACAGTTTTCACATATAGATATATTTTGAGTGACCGAACAGAGTAAAAAATCATTTACATGCATATACATAACTTCTAACAAACGCATAAAAAAAATTCACCAGATTTTGATAGAGCCGTAAGTACTACTACTCTTTCATCTGTAATTTAAAAAAAAAGTCATGAATTCAACACCTGAATACAGAATCGCTTTTGTTAGTAGAAAACCCTAATATTGATACAAATCTGAATTTAGTCAGAATCAAACACCGAGTGTGAAACAAAAAAAACAGACTTACTTGGATCAGTTTTGGCAAAAGTAGCTGTGCCAGCAAATTGGCAAGAGCCAGGAGCCATGTTGTTTCTTTGATAGTAACTATTGAAGGCATAAGAAGCATGGTTTTGAATAGTATTAGGAAGATAACAAAGGCCAGTAGATTGAATTGGTGAACAATCAGCACCATAACTACAAGCATAATCTAAACCTCTTTGTAATGCTTGATAACTTGCATCACTTCTAACTACACACCATGTAGCTTTTGTTCTAACAATAATAGTTAACATCATAACTATAACTACCAACACTTCCATGAACATATATATACACAGAGACGGATCTAGAAACAACAGAATTGGTGTATATTAAGGCTAATTATAATGTTTGTCTAGTGCTGAAAGGTCAAGAAAATTGACGATATGTTTAAATTTTGAATCTGCCGCTCTAGTGGTGAGAATTGGGAGTAAGAGAGGGAAAGAAAAAAAGAAGTGGAATGATTGATATATGTAGTGATATTTTTTCTTTTTTGCTTTTATGGTTATTTATCTTTTCAATTTTATTTATTTATTTATTTTGCTTTGGGAGCTTCACTCTGCCATATACTTTCATATTTTAGAATTAATTAGTATATTTGCCTTTCCACTTTTATTTTATTTATTATCACATATGTATGTGAGTATCTATGATGATGACTATATTTGTTGGCATGTATGTTTGGATATAAAATCAAAATATTGTGAATGGGTAAAATCATGTTTAGGGATAAAAGATTGATGATTTTTTTTGCGCGATGTAAATATTATTTTAAGTGATTAAATAATTTGTTAATATATTATATGGGAAAGCTTATGTATATAATTCGATAATTATAACTTAAGGTAGATTGATGATTACGAGTTATTTGGTCGGCTATTAAAAGAAAATTCTTATATTTGTATTCCTTATTATATAAACGATAGATTTTTATCATAGGACTTTTTATTTATAGATTAAAGTCATGACTAAAAATTAATTCGTTCAGAACTAAGTCAATTACTTCGATAAAATAATTAATATATATACAAGTTGATTCAAATATCATTGTTATGATTTTGAAAAAAAAAAAAGCAGAGACAGAATCAAGTGGAATAAGGATACTTTGTTCTTTATTTGCTTTCTTTGTTATTTTTACCTTTTTGGGGTTTGTGCTGTATTGTCTTTCTCTTTTAAGCTTTTCTAGATTTGCTTTTATTGGGAGTTTGAAACTTTAAGGTTCGTTTTAGTTTCTGATCTAATTATACATATTTTATGCTTCATTCGTTTTTATTTAATTGTCTGGTTATTTTAATCTGACATAAAATTTGAAAAATTAAAAGGGAAATTTCGAGTTTTATGAGTATAAGCTAAAGATAAATGAAGACCTCATAATACCAGAGTAAATAATAGTAATTTAGTTTCCCAAATTTAAGTTTAATGATCATAAAAAAACTTTGACAAATAAAAAAACATGTTAATATATAATTACATGTATGTGATGTGTAACATCTATGTATAAACTCTAGTCTATAGTTTTGCTAGAAAAAGTTCAGTTGGAGATTCCAGAAAAACTTAGTAGCTCAATTGATTGACTATCTGAACTTTCACCTTGTTGATAAGGGTTCAATTTCCCACCTTCTAATCCACTATTTGAACTAGAATTCTCGACTAAAACTCGAAACTCCAACACAACCTAACCCCCCTTTGTTGCAAGGGCTCCAAAATTGTACTATCATGGCAAAAATGGTGTATATGTACAAGCAAAACTTCCTTGAAAAGCTCTCATTGTCGATACATTCTCAATCCGAGAGCAAGACGTCTACCTCAGGATCATCAGGTGTATCAGGGTCATAGTCAGTTGTTTTTGTTACCCTGGTGAAAGTTTCAACGCGAGAGGTACTATTCGATACCTCTCCTTGTGTAGAGTTATCTACTTTCTCACATATGCATGAATAAGGATTTTCATGAAACACACCCCAAGTTGGACTTACCTCCTTAGGCTCTCCCATGAAGCCTTTTTGATATTTGTTGATTCTATATACAAATTCCTTGTGTGACATGTAGTTTTTGTTCAAGAACACTCGAAATAGCTTCCTACCGTTTGGACGAATGGTTGGTTTATGGCCAAAATATCTCCTGCATTGATCGAAAAGGAAAAAGTATATTAGTCTACCTCAGAATCGTGCCCTTTAACTTGGCCTCATCTGACATTATGCCTCCAACTCTGGGTGTCATTCATTCACGTCCTATACAACATCCTACTAGGTGTCCTTGGTGTGTTATGTAAGATAGGATGTATATGTCTACTTGTGTAGACGCCCAAATTTGAAGGACGTAGATATCAGAGATCAAGTTAAATGACATGTTTATATATTATGTCTTTGCGGTATAAAAGTGAAATAGGAGGGTGAAGCAGCAAACCTTCGTCCTGCTAGAATTTTCGCCATGTTTCCATGATTGTTAGCGACAAATACATCGCTTTCATCACAAACTATGAAGTCAAGAGCAGCCATTCTTGAAGAAAATGCAGAAAATGGTGCTAACTCATCTTTGCTGGCAAGGGTGTCTTTTGTGTAGAAGTTTGGAAAGAGGGTCTTTAACGGAGTCAATGTCTCGTTCCCTCCATATGTTTCGCCAGATGCTACGTATATATGAACATCTTCGCTATATCCAAGTGATCTCAACATCAAGCCGACTTCTTCAGGAGTCATAGGACATCTTCCATGCCTCCTTGCCTTATCGGGGTGACTCTCCTGAAATTATATCGGAGAAATAGAGTTAGCACTTCACACATCACATTGTATGAAAGCAGGGCTAAACCTTACTAACATTATTCAGAAAGAACACAAAAAGGAGAAAGAACATTATTTCGCTGATTAAAATGCTCCTTTTAGAGGAAAAATGTATGTACGAATGTACGTTGATCTTTGAATGATCTACTATGAGGATATGATTGAAAGCAGATACTCAAGTACTTACAGGTAAAGTTTTCCACTTCTTTCGTATCTTCCCGAGTTCCTCCCTCTCCTTATCACCCCCTCCATAGTAACATCCTGAGAATGCAAGCATATCGGGTTCAAACCTGTACCATATACGAGTACAAAACAAGGAATAAGAAAAAATTGTCGTAATCAAAATGATACAGGTCTGCATACACCCACCCTCCTTAGGTGATCGTAAGAATCAAATACTGTCTGTATGTAATCGCAAATGAGAAAATCAACAAATAGAAAACGAACCTTAGGTGAAGAGCAATGAAATGCTTGCTCTTCATCCTCATTCGATGAACCAATTTCTCACCCATTCTAAGTATAGGGTCAGTAAACTTCACGGCATGATAGTTAACTCTGCATCTAAGCTTTTGCAAATCTGTATCCAGACTATTTGCAAGTCGATAATCAAACTTCATGATCTGTACAGCCTGTTACGAGAAGTGGAGCTATACAGGTCTATAAATATCAACATTCAAACATCTTATATAAGGCATAAACATATTCGTCTCCACGACTCTGGTAATGCATTTGACGAAAAGTATGGTTTTGTCCTCATGGATACAATATAAAGGACTTGATATACTCACATGTTTCTTTTTAAGTACAGGCAGTACACGATGAATATAGCAACTATCACTGCATTTTCTAGGAACTCGCATTCTATAAGGTAACCAGATTTGCCCTTTTCTGAGCGGAAGTTCCTTTACAACTGAAACATCATTCGCTAGATATTTTATAAACCAATCAACATCGAAAATATCAGAGAACACGCTGCAAGGAAAATGCATTGTTCACTTCGTTGAGATATTAGACTGTAACCAATATGCAACGAAAAAACAAAATGTCACTTTTCAGCTTCGTACTCACTCACCTAGAGTCTTTCCAGTAAGAACTCTTGTCCAGTTTCGGAACAACAAGAGTAGCATTCAAAATTCGAGCAGCAACAACAGCATCTGTTATCTGTCATCGAGGTGAAAGAGTTTATACTGTTAAAAACAGAACATTCTGTATTCCATATTAGTTAACGACAGGAACGTTATGTGAAACGTCACACATCAAGAAAATATAGCTAAAGTTTCGATGAGTCTCCAGCCACCAGTTTGGAGCACATCATAAGGCGCAATACAAAACTTCTACCAAACATAGTTAAGCTAATGCAACTTTTTATACGTGAATAAAATGTCTCTTATACAGTAACCAAACGACCCCTTAGTACCTCGTGAGAAATTAGTAACCAGATTTCTCAAAAAGACATTTGCTTACCCCAGTTCTTTGTTGGTTAAGACCTCCACTTGTTACAATCGACAAGTAACGATTAGGATGAGTGATATCTTGTGCTTCTGCATACAACGAATCGAATTAAGAGAAAGTCGGAGTAAATTGAGATTTCCAAAATGCAGTATCAATATAACATAACTCACTTCGAAATTTTTTACTAGCATCACTGCATCCATAGAAGAGGTTTGAATTTCTCGAACTCCACATATCGCGTTTACTCACTCTCTCTTTAGCCTTAAACAAAACAACAAATTCATACAATTTTTAGAAATATAAGATCCAAACAAAAAACAGAAACATCATACAGAAAACAGAGATATTCACCGGTACAGGTAATGGAGAATCTTCAGCATCATCATTTTCTCCCTACAAAAACAAAATTACAAATCAGATAACCAAATGCAATGTCAAAAATGAAATGAGCTTGCATTAACTCATGGCCCGGATCTAGGCCCGATTAACAATAGCCTAATTAGCTCAGTTGATTGAATTTTGAAACTTTCAATGAACATGCATTAACTTAGGGCCCGGATCTAGGCCCGATTAACAAAAGTTTTATAAGCTCAGTTGGTTGAGTATGAAACTTTCAAAGAACATGCATTAACTCAGGGCCCAGATCTAGGCCCGATTAACAAAAGCATGATTAGCTCAATTGATTGAGTATCAATGAACGTGTATTGGCTCGGATCTAGGCCCGATGAACAAAAGCCTGATTAGCTCAGTTGTTTGAGTATCAGAACTTTTTCATATCAACGTTCAATTCCCCTATTTGATTGTGAATCGAGTTATTATTGTATTATTAACGCGAAACTTTAATCATGGCATTAGTGTAGGGTGAATGAGGTACCGAAGAATCGCGATGAGGAAGAAGGAAGATACGATTGCCATTAGGAGAAGGCGCGAGAATCGAGAGGAAAAAGAAAAGGAGAAGAAAGATGGAGGCGACGGTGATGGCCGGGATTAGCCACCGTCCATGCGTAAAAAAGTGGTGGTGGCGCCGGCGAGAGGAGGCCATGGGAGTGGTGGTGGAAGGAATGAAGATGAAAGGGAATTACGTTTCGTTAATATGTGCATGCCCATGCATATAGACTAGACTAATTCCAATATTGAAAATATTATGTCGAGTCAAAATCAGATAAATAAATTTAAAATATATAAATAATATAATTACATTAATAGTAATAACATATGCTTGATAAATCTAGGGGAAACAACCAAAAAAATCTCATTCATTTTTACTTGAATCATATTGATTTTGACGGATTGAAATTTATTAGAAATATATTTTGTTAAACTAATTTTATTAATGATGCTTTAAAAATGTAAAATTTAACTACTACAATGAAATTAGTGGAATTTAATTTTTTTTTGTCTAGTGACCTTATGCTAAAACACTATTTGATTTGGTGATCCGAAACATATCAAGTAAGAAATTAAAATTAATAAAATATTAAAAGATTTTTTTTAAAAAAAAAGTAAAAATATTGATACGACGTAAAAACAAATATTACCTACTTCCTTCGTCTCATTTTTCGAAATTTGAGATTCAAACAAGTGTATCTTTGATAGAAATTTTTTCATAAATGCATAAATATCCACAACATATACTCGAAATCTCAGAGACACCTTTAAGCTATACTAACATCTTATTATCCCTGAACTTATTTTATAAATAATTTTCTACCCCTTTTTGGCCTACGTGACACTATCAACCATGTAGTTTGAAAAAAATGTCAGCACGCGCGGAATCCACAAGATAGTTTCACGTTAGCCGAAAAGGGGTAGAAAATTATTTATAAAATAAGTTAAGGGGATAAAAAGACCTTAATATAGTACAAGTGAATTTTTAAAATTCGAGCATAGGTTGACAATACTTATACATTTTCCCTAGACTTTTTAACATTTTGAATAATTAATTATTGCGACTTATAATACTTTTTACATAGTGTACAAATATATAAATTTTATTTCAAAGTATAAAATTTTCATCAAAGTTAAATTATTTCTCTCAAAAAATGAAAAGTGTCGTATAAATTAAAATGGACAGATTATTTGATTGATATTAATAGCAAATATGTTTCAAATCTATCTCACAACATTGTTACAAGCTTAAAAAAGTGAATTTTGATTTTAAATACTAAAAATAAATTCAAATCAAATAACTAATATTGGAAAAACCTTTTTTTTTTTTTGGGTCATATAGGATATTATTTTGTTAAACGTACTAAAAAGATTATTACATCAGCGTTACTCTAAATTTTTTCCTAAAACAATGCCTATATTGACCATGAATATTTTATTATTTTTATCCTAAATAATTATTATTATTCCCAAATATTATTTTGACACAAAACCAAACAATAATGTATCTACGTTTTCTTGCACAAGTAATATATATCATGCTTCAAATAAAATTTTATGATACGACTCACATGTGTTAAAAAATTGATTATAAAATAGCAAAACATAATATTTTCAATATTATATTAAAATATCGCGAATTTTACCAATCTGTTTTCTCAAAAGATACAAGTTATCACTTATCGTCTGGTGAAATATCACGAGTTTTATCGATCTTGTTTCTCAAAAAATACAAGTTATCGATTTGTCATCTCATGTATGGTTTCGATTTCCTCAACCACCACTAACATCGTACCCGATGAGATCCCATATGTAAAGATATGGAAAGAGTGAGATGTATACAGACTATATATACACCATTGTTCAGGTAGAAAAAGTAAACAACTGATAGTAAAGAAATGTATTTCGATAAAGAGTGAGTGCTAATTTAGATAGAAAAGTAAACGAGCCATAATTGATGTGTACTTAGATAAAAATTTGGTGATAGTTCAAGTAAGAAACTGAAACAACATGTAATTCAGATACGAAACTAAAAACTAAAAACTAAAAAAAAAAAAAAAAGCGAAATACTTTAGATGTGTTTTTAACCTTTCAACTCTCGTTTTTTAAGCTAACGATGAAGAAAATCCGAAAAAGCGCATCCAGAGAGTTCAAAATTTTACTATCTAAAGTATTACTTCAAAGTAAAGGAAAAGAGAGAATAACATAACATTTGAGCAAAGAATATACCAAGTAAAATGTTGATCATTTTTAAGTCTAAAGTCCAATTTTGGCCCTGTCCTGTTATGGATTTACATACATAAAAGATAAAATTGCACTAAATGTAGCCCCGCGGATATATAATCTAATATATAATAGGCATAATACATAAATATAACTCTTAACTTGGCGTCAGTTGACAACTATGATCCTTAACTTTGAATGTGCAAAAGTAGGCACTCAAAACTTGTATAAGATTGAACATATAGACACACGTGTCCTACATGACATGACACACGTAGGACACCACGTACGATACAAATTTTTCATGTAGGGTGCCATGCAGGACGAATATATCAATTTGTTCAAATTTATATAAGTTGTGCACATCTTAAGTTAACGAGTCACAGTTGCCAACTAGCGTCAAGTTAAGGGTCAAGGTTTCATGTCTATGTATTATGCATATATAATATATAACCTCGTATAATCGGTGTATAATCGACAATTCACGTGTAAAATAAAGGCAAAAAGCAAAAAAAAAGAAGAAGAAGAAGAAGAAGAGATGCTTGGTGAAAGTAGCAAGAAGGGAACAAATGACTAAAGACGTTTTGCCCTTGTGTTTTGCATGACATAAAAGTGTGGAGAAGATGTATCTTGCGCCAAACTCGACCCCCAAAGCTTAGCTCATGATGCGAGGATTGCTCAAATATCTAATAAGGAACACACAGCACTCACCCCCTCGCAAATATACAAGCCTAACTCAACCCGAGAAGCTAGGTCACGATGTGAGGCTTGTCGTACACACAACACATATCCTCAGCTAATGTGATATGTTAAAAAGCGTAAAAGTCACAGTAACAAAACATTAGATTCTTAAATACTTTGGGTATTAGAAGAGCAATCGATCCAGCGTAAAGGCTTGTAAAGAAATATTTCGCAACACTATGCTTCTACTAGCAGTATATATTAAAGCCATTTTGTGACAGATGAGTGGCATCAACATAATCTGCAGAAACAAGTAGTGAAAATGGCCTCAGAAATTCAAAAACATTCATCAGGACAAGGAATGGGAAGGACTTCTTCACAGGAGCTGCGCGAAAAGGAGAAAGAAGTTAAAGATAAAATATTTCAAGCAGCTATGGCGAATAAGTGGAGAACAGTTAAGCATCTGTACACCGACAAGGAGTTTGTGCAGTTTGTGCATGAATTAAAACTCACTCGATCTGAAGAGACTGCTCTTCACTTAGCTATCACTGCTTACCATCCAGATCGAGACGACTCTTTACAGCATCCTCATTTTACTTGTATCAAGGAAATGATAGATGACATACCAGAGGAAAATCGACTACGTACCTTAAAGCTGAAGAATGATAAAGGGAACACACCTCTTCACCTTGCAGCAGAACTCGGGAGTGTCAAGATTATTGAGTGTTTGGTAAACCCATCAGACTCTGATCTCATCAGGGAGACCAATTCAAAAGGGGAAACCCCCTTATTTGTAGCAGCTTACCGTGGCAAACTAAAAGCTTTTCTCTACCTACAGAAGTGTTGCGTAAATCAAAAAGAACGTGGTATTGATCTTTGTAGGAGGAAAGATGGGGATAACATTCTACACGCCGCCATCTCTGGCGAGTACTTCGGTAAGAGCCAATCCCCTACAAAGACTTTACTAATTATCAGATATTTCAACTTTACATATGTTTAACAACTTATCTTGTAACAGATCTGGCTTTTCAGATAATACATCACTACGGGCAACTTGTCAACTATTACAACGCAGAGGGAATGTCTCCCCTACACTTCCTTTCCAGGATGCCTCAAGTATTCAAAAGTGGCAGCCATTTTCGGTCCATAGATAGCATCATCTACTACTGTAAGTGTGTGTTCTTTTTATCCTTTGTTGCAAGTGCAACACATTTACTGTTTTCTGTTAGCCATAAACATCCAACTTTTGCATGATGGTTCATGTTCATCGTTCGTGAAGGTTATATAGCTAATATTAGGTTCTTTTTTTTCCAGGCACAAATATCGAAGAGCTAGAGTTAATGACATATAAAGCTAAAGATAAAGAAGATTCACATAGTAAGCTTAAATGGAATCTCCCAGAGAACTACCAAACAATGGTGGAGTTCTTTGAACTACTTTGGAATGGGACATTGAAAACTCTACGTGAGTAGATTTACTGCACGTGATCAATGACTTATCTAATCTGTATAGTACGTTATACTAGTACAAAAACTTTTTAGGTAGGAAATGACAACAGATACTCCGATCAAAACAAGAAAGCTGCTCACTTCCTTTTGGGGCTTATTGAAAACGCTAGACCAATCTCCTTTTGAAAATGCACTAACAGACTGTTTTGAGCGACTGTTGTTGGTACTTTCTACCTAAGAGTTTTACATTACCAAGACTGATTCTATCTTTTCTATCCAGGTTATCTTAACCGAACATACTTTGGGAATCGACTTTACTTTGGGAATCAAGAAGACCCGTCTAAAAGTACGTGATTACATAGAAACATTCTAGTTTATCAACTCATCCATGCTGAGTTAGTCAATAGTAACAATTTCTTTTACAATATGAACTAACCAAATTATTCGAGTGCCTCGGGCACTCTTGCTGGAACATAGTACATAAGAACTTCACATGCTCCGAGACTGATTCTGTTTTCTATCCAGATACTACAGGAGCAACTAATGAGAATCAAGGCAAGAAGTCTCAAGGTACATGATTACATAGAAACATTCTAGTTTATTCACACATCCATGCTGAGTCAATCAACAATACCAATCTCTTTCACAAAATGAACTAACCAAACGATTCGAGTGCCTCGGGGGACTCTTGCTGGAACATAGTACATAAGAACTTTACATGCTCCGAGACTGATTCTGTTTTCTATCCAGATACTACAGGTGCAACTAATGAGAATCAAGGCAAGAAGTCTCAAGGTACATGATTACATAGAAACATTCTAGTTTATTAACACATCCATGCTGAGTCAATCAACAATACCACTCTCTTTCACAAAATGAACTAACCAAACGATCCGAGTGCCTCGGGGAACTCTTGCTGGAGCATAGTACATAAGAACTTTACATGCTCCGAGACTGATTCTGTTTTCTATCCAGATACTACAGGAGCAACTAATGATAATCAAGGCAAGAAGTCTCAAGGTATGTGATACCTTTCAGGTTATGTGGACTTTTAATTTGTTTTTCATGACAACTCTTACTAGTACTAACTTATATTTCCTTTTCTGCACACTAAGGCCATCAAAATAATCAGCAATATGACGTCGAGAATCCCCCAATTCAAGGTGAATGCATACACATGTATAAATACCAAAGTTCAAACTAAATATTACCTCAAAGTATGATGATTAGATCTAATTCATCAAAACATGCAACAAAATATCAAGAAGAGGTGCATGTAATATCAACAAAAAGACACAATATACCACCATACTGATTCTCCATCAACATCAAAGCATTGAGCATTAGAGCTGCTTTCTTTCCAAGCTATGTGAACATTTTCTATGAGAAAAAAATTGATAGAAAGAGAGTGTGATTCTCCAACATATTTCTGCTAACAATTGATCTCTCTGGAATTCCAGCTGAAAGGAAGAGAAGCCGCAAGTTGTTTCCAGACAATTACACCATCTTTATCGAGTTCCTCAAATGTATAATGAAGATTTTACTTATTGTATTGGGTATTGGTAAGAATTATTCTTAAAACATTTCTAGTTTATCATGCATACATTTCTTGACTACTGAGTGCAACTGCTGTAATTCTTAAAGAATCAGACTTGTTAATCGTTCGAAGAATGTAGTTCCAACCCCTTTCTGATATATTTTCTGCTTCACCTTTTGTTTGGAAATTAAACTAGGAACTAATGACTACATTTTGATACTTCTTTACCCTTGATTGTTGTTTAGAACGTAAGAACGGGTTGAGAATAGGAGAGATATCAATGGAGAAAAAGCGGAAAAGGACTAAAAACTCTCTTCTTCTTTTTCTTGTTGAAGTAGAAAACTAAGAAGGGAATTTGTGTTATTGTTGTTTGACATTTAGGCAAGTCCCATCCTTTTCACATTTTACTTTCCACATTATGTCATCAGGATTCAAATCTTGTTGCATGCAGGACTCCAAAGGACAAAAAAACTAGAGGAAAGGAAAAAGCAACATACATGGGGAGTTCAAATTATGAAGTTGATGATTGAGAAAGAAGAACGTTACAAATCCTATGAAAGTACTGGGGGGGAGCCAGAAGATAGGCCCAATAACCAAATTGGAGCACCTCCTCCAGCACCCCCTTCAGATGTTGAAAATGAAGACAGTAACACTGCACAGATCGAGCAACCACCAACTTCAAGCACAGATAAGAAGATAGATGATCTCAAGTCTGGTAAAGAATCTCTCTTATTCTGGTTATACTTGTGTGACACGGAAAACTTTGTTCAGTCATCAAGACACTGCATTTTTAGCAAGTCAAGATCTATCGCATCAACATGCCAAAAATTTATTCTACTTTTCCAAATCAGAATCAAGTTTTTTCTTTTTTATGCCAGTTATAACTTCATCAGAAGCTATATGTTCGCTAAAAGCAACTAAAATAACTATAGTTCTAAATACAGATAGGTCCAAGACCAAGGAGACACCCCTATTAGTGGCATCAAAGATGGGTATTGTAGAGATGGTACAGACGATCCTCAAAAAGTTCCCAATAGCCATTCAAGATACGGACTCTAACGACAAGAACATACTGCTTTTGGCTGTAGAGCACAGGCAGACAAATGTCTATAATTGGTTAACAGGAGAAAAGTATCCAGAGTACGTGTTTTATCATGTGGACAACCATGGAAACAATGCAGTGCACCTAGCTGCAATGTATCAGAAGCTCGAGGTGTGGCGCATCCCTGGTAGTGCTCTACAGTTGCAAGGTGAAAGGAAGTGGTACAAGGTAAGAGATTTTTAACAACCAACCCATATTTTAATATCACAAGGGATTAACTTAATTACACTAACGTGTAAAATATTTTCTTATCATAATGCAGTATGTGAAGCACACTTTGCCACGACAATCATATGTTCGTTATAACAATAAAGGTCAGACACCAAGACAGATCTTCATAGAGACACATGCAAATTTACTCAGTGATGGAACTCAATGGCTCGTCACAACTGCCAATTCATTCTCTCTCGTAGCAGCACTGATTGCTACTGTTGCCTTTGCTACATCTTCCACAATCCCAGGCGGAGCAGATGATAACGGCCATCCACACTTAAAAAATCAGCCTGCTTTTGACGTGTTCTCTGTAACATCACTAATTTCTCTTTGCTTCTCTGTCACAGCTCTAGTGTTTTTCTTGGCTATCCTCACATCTCGATGCCGACACAATGATTTCGAGAAAGACTTGCCAAGAAAGTTGCTCCTTGGATTAACTTCGCTTTTTGCATCAATAACTGCTATCTTGATCTCATTCTGTGCTGCACATTTCTTTGTCCTCCGGGATAAATACAGGAATGCGGCAATTCCAATATACGGGGCAACATGCATACCTGTGGTGTTTTTTGCATTTAATCAGTTCCCTCTCTATGTTGATCTTATAAGGTCATACATCCAAAAGCTACCACTTCGTAGCTATAAGGTGTTTTATACTGATTCCTCAGAAGCAACTAGCTCAGATCAAAAGAAAGAAGGTAAAGAAAAGAATGATTGAAACAAGTCGGAATTATGACAAGAGCAGAGCTTGCACGGTTTCCTAATTCAGTTTCCAAATAAGACCGGGTTGTTTTGTGTCAAAAAAATGATGAATTCCAAGAAAGGTTTCCCTTCGTTGAGAGTAGGCGAGGTGGAGATATAATTTTTCTATGTATTCTTGAAGATACTCACACTTTTTTAAGAGTTCCGTGATTTCATATACCTTTTTTCCAGACTAAAGCTAGTTAAAATAGAGTGCTTAATGTTGTTTGATCCTGTAATTCATGTGAACTTGAGGAAGTCTAAGGGAACTTATCATATCGAGATAGCGCAAAAAAGGCATTATCCTATTTTCCAGACTAAAGCTAGTTAAAATAGGGTGCTAAATGTTGTTTGATCCTCTAATTCATGTGAACTTGAAGTCTTAGGGAACTTATCATATCTAGATAGTGCATATCCTATTTTGTAAAATTATTGAACAAGGAAACCGTTTAGATTTTCAAGGATCATTTTTTATCCAATATGACTTGAATCCAAATATAAAGATTACTCCCCGGCAATACCTCGCTCAAGCTCTATTTGATTTGTATTACAGCTGGTCCATGTAAAGAGTTATAGAATGTAGATTTAAGGGCACTACAAGAGTGACTGTGAACCAAATTCGATTTATGCCCGTAAATTTACAACAGATGCTATACTTTTGTTAAGGAGATCAATGACAGTTTATAGCGAGGGCAAAGTAGATTGGTGTTCACTGATGTAGAGAAAGTCATATAGCTAGAAAGGTCCTTTGGTGGGTGTTGGAGACGAAAGGAATTTATATTAAATTAATTATATTTTTCTATAAGATTAAAGATCTTCCTGCTACTCTCCACGATTGTAATTAGGAACCTGTAATTTGTTGTGGCAGGTTCTGTTTTTTGTTTTGGAATAGAATACAAGTTGTTATCTTCTAAAAAAAAAAGGACATGCATTTAGGATCCATCACTAGCATAAAACCAGCAGTAGGAAATGCAACGGAATTTCTCATAACCGTGAGTTTACACCGAGGGTCAGAATTGAGTATGTAGTTGTTCACCCTTGTGATGCATGAGCTAATAACTACAATACAAGATGAAGTTCCATGTTGTAAATAGTAGTGTGCTAAATCACAAAACCAGCGATGGTACATGGTAACTCTACCCACCAAAGTTAAGACAAATGGGAAGAAATCACACCTAGTGTCTTGTGCCTCCACTGACATTTGAAGACAAGACCTTACGGTACACAATTCACTGACTACTAGGCCAGACTTTCTGAAGGATATAGCTTTTTCGCTTCTTATTTGATGTAAATAGGTAAGAAATATCCTCAATAAGTACTTTAGACAACGTATCCAGTACTCACTAATTTATTATTAGAAAGAAAATGTGTAATTTTTGTACAAGTAGCTAATATTCAGTCTTTACCATCTAATGATCGACAGAAAGATGGAAGATAAAACAGAGGTTTAAACAACAGGGATCTTACATTTGAACACTTCATATAGATCAACAAAATAGCAGAGTGATAAGTTGTTACCAGCCGTGAAAAGCGATAAAATTTGTGTGCTGCCTTAGTCATAATCTTTCTTCATATTCTTACCTAGTAGAGGATTAACCCCCATTTGTCCTCCAAAGTTGCACTTTAATACCAGCAGCTGCATGCTCTAGAGAGGCCGTTCCAAGAAGAACTACTTCTCAAAGAGCTGCACAACATCTCTTTGAAAATTAATATGGAGTACGGAGTATGATTTGGACCGCCTTCCCCGGATCTGAGCAAGTTCTAGTAATCGTCATGCAAATTACCATACCTCAAGAGCTTTGTTGCATTCCTACAGAAACACTTCGAGAACGTCTTTTCTTTGACATGCCCTGAAAGACAATTGCATACCATTACTTGTATGCTCAAGGCATATGAAGCAGGAACAACATGGTGACTAGACTACACTCTCAATGTGAAAAAAACAAACATAAATAAGGTCAACTCATTCAGGATGTATCATTACGCAGTCTACTCCAGATTATTAGTTAAACAGTTACACTTCCCAGTCACACCCACTAATTGCAACTTATATAAGTGTCACTATGATGGAAACAAAATCAATTTTTTCCTTGGTGCTTCATTTAACAAATACAATTGATCTCAAATGACAAACAAACATAAGCAAGTGGTTTTGTTGAACGCAACAGATTGAGAGCACAAATCTTAGATTTGGTACTCTAAAATAAAATGAGTTAATGATGAAGAATTTATAGATTGGACAGGGCCCAAAGACGTGACTCGTAGTAATAATCATTCTAGTCACCCAAATACTTCCAACTACTTTATTCCTAATGAATGATAACCAGCTTCCGAATGCATTCCAGTGTCCAATGATGCTTAAGTCCAGTTTAGGAAAAAAAGAGGAGAACTGCAACGGCTACAACATAATATTCAGCTCATACAGTCTAGGAAATCATTCTCAAATTGGTAACTGTTTCTCCAAGCTACATGAAACACATGCCAGTGGCATTACGAGACTCACTTCTGGAGCAGCTTTAGATGAACCTTTCACAGAAATGATTACATGATGACTTATTGACATTCATTTATACATCACATTCCGGCGACAATACAAGGACAATGTTAATATGAAGATCAACCTTCAAAGTGATATGAACATTCTACGCTCATCATGATCTTGGCACAATAAGAGTAACCTCAAAGTTGAAGGAAAATGCATATAATAAAGAGATGTACGAATGAACTTATCACCATACAAGACAATGGATATGAACCTGCTAGTCTAATACCTTAGAGAATGGCAGGGGCAAGGAAGCCTGTCGTACAGCCTTCTCAGGTTCACCAAGCTGCCGAATCTCTTGAAGTTGGTGCGCTATATCCTCCAAAAGCTTTAACTGCATCTTTTCTCTTTCTCTATGCTCTGCAGTCAAGTCAAGTTTCTCTCTTCCCTCTTGCACAATCTTTAACCTCTCTCGAAGCCGCTCCACTTCCATTTCAATTTTCAGCCTTTCATTGTCTACTGAGCATACGGAATTTCCCCGAGAATCACGCAGCAAAGGTTTACCACGTGAGCCCACTGGTGGAAGCCCACCAGTAGTGTCTGAACTGATTTTAAGATCCACTTGAGTATACAACGTGCTAGTACTTGGACGATCTCTAATAACATCTTGTGTAGGAGAAGCTTCAACAGGGTGACTAGTTTTCCCACAAAATTCTAATGCACTTTTCCTAGATTCACCATTACTGACATCATTGCAAAAGTTGGACCCGTCGACAATGACATGAACATCGTGAACACGAGGTTCTTTGACTGAGGTCAAATTACATGGACATTTTGATCCCTGATATCCAACTGTCTCATGATACATCAAACACTTGTCTTTTCTAGAAACATCAATACAAGCTCTGTCACTTGTTTCCATATCTGGATTTTCTTTTAGCACTTCACCTTCTAGGGGAATGGCCTGATCAGGAAGTTTCTGTTCCGAAAGACCTGTCTCACAGGGTTTCAAGGATGTGTCCAGTATTTTCCCATTCCCTGGTGCCACATCGGAGTGGTTAACCATAAAAACCATCTCTTTTTCCTGATATTCTTGACTGCAAGAATGCTCTGTTAAGTCAACTTGCTTCTGGGAGTTGACATCTTTGTTCTGTCTTTGAATCGGTGCCTCTCCCGCTAAAGCAATATAGTTTTGTTTATCAAGAGAACTGACCTCCTCGGAGTTCTTATTTTCCGCAACAGTCCTCTTGTTGAAAGAAGCACTAATCTGATGAAGCATAAGAAGTGGATCCTCATTAAGATCAGGTGAAGCAACATGACGTCTTAGTGCATCCACTACATTCCCACTATCACCTGTTGGTTCTTCATTTCCGAGATAAGTCATCTGCCTATATACTTCAAGTTCCTTCTCCAAAAAGTGTTTCTCCCTCTCTGTCCTCATCAGGATCTCCATTAGAATGTTCATTTCCTCTGCTTCAAAAGCAGATTTCTCTTCAATTAATCTCTGATATTGCCGGGCGTCCATTTCAATAGCTGCCTTCTCCTCTTGTAGACGTAAGATCATGGCCATAGCCTCATCTGCAGCACTCGCGGCAGCATTTCTTTCCTTCTCCAGCTCAATGCAAAGAGCATCTCGAGCTTCTCGTTCGTGCTCTAAGGCTCGTTCCAAGAGTCTTATTCTGTTCCCCTCATGGAAGCTGGAAACTGGTTCCCCATTATGTCTCAGCTCTTCAATGGATGCGACGTTCTTTTCAATGTGCTCAATTTCATCAGAAGATCCAGTTAGTTCAAAGCTGTCTCTCTGGCCTAATCTCATAACCAGTGCAGGGTGGCCACCATCTATATTCACCACAAAGAGAAGCATTAGATTGATACATATTGGAACCCCAAGGCTTTAAAGTTAAATGAAACAAGGGAGGCTACAAATCGTAAAAAATAATAATTTGAAATTACTTAGTTTCATGCATCTACCTTTTGGACCCAATTAGTCTGGATTGAAGCTTACATTGTTGTTTCCTTGTATCCTCATAGTTATTAGACTGAAAAGTAATTGATTCTGCTCAACATATTTGATACAGCAACTACTACGCCTTAAACCCAAACAAGTCAGGATCAACTCTAATGAATTCTCACAGACCATGTTTCTCCATTTAAGCTCAACACATCTCATCATCATACCAAATAAAAATAAAAAGTAAACTAGACGTATAAATAACAATAATATAATTTATATATTATTTTACTCGTATTTAAATCTTTTACTCCAAGAAAAGCAGTAGGTTTAAAATCAATGACAACTACATTTCCAAATAATATCAGCTATATGGATCTTTTTTTTTTCAATTGTATTCAACCAATTATTACTTCTACTTCTTCTAAAACCGTTGCTTAACAAATTAAATGTTGCCAAAAGTTCCTTTGTTTTTCCATAAACAAATTATACCCAAAAAATTTTTAGCATAAGAGGTAAAACTATTCACTTAAAAGCATTTGATAGATAGAAAAATAACTATTTCTGCTTATGTATTGCACCAAATAAGAATGGTTTAAGCTAAATAATTGTACGGAAATGTTAAAAGATGACATAATACATTTAGTTTGTGTAATACAAAGGAGATGCATTGTTTTGGAATAAAAGATGCAGATACATGTTCCTAAGCCAAAAACTAAAGTCTCCGGATTTTCTTCCCTTATTAGGGGAACAGGGGCTCCTAGCGAGTCATGAACATTATGATGCATCATAATAACTACGACACCTCATCCCAAGCTCGTCTGCTGCAGCTTAGGCCTAACTCAACCCCAAAAGCTAGCTCAAGAGGGAGGATTACTCAAGTCCATATAAGTAAACCACTAGTCAATTCCCAACCAAAGTAAGACTCTAACCGACTCTATTTACCCCCTTCACACCCAAGTCCAATTGGAGTGTGGACCAGGAGCCCAAACCGGGGTAGACTGACTCAACCCCAAAAGCTAGCTCATGACGGGAGAATTGTCCAAGTCTATATAAATAGACGCTACTCCATTTCCAACCAATGTGATACTCTAACCCACTCTCAGGATGCAATAACAGGCTAAAAAAGAACTTTTTAGATAAACAACTTTTAAGACGACTAAACATCAAAACATAGAAAGGAGAGCATTAGAATTTCTGAAATCAAAAGGGCAATGTATCATTTCAATAATTCATTACCTTCTTTATTAGTACTAGGAGGAGATGGAGGACCTAGTGGGAAGTCTTCATATTGCGGATCATATGATGAAACTGACGAAGATCTCCCATAATCAACAGCTGTTTTACGCCTTCTTCGACGAACCCCTCCTCTTTGTCTCTGATTCATCACTCCTTTCCCCTTTTGCCCAAATTCATTTCTTGGACTTAATTCAATCATAGCAATATTATGCGACTTTCTTGCATCTGATACTGAACTACATGAAGCCTCATCACCCATTTCAAGATACCCATGAGGACTATTCCCCTTTTCTTGACCAATTAATCTCAAATTCAAATCACAATTCTGGTCTTTCCCTAAAATAGTATCAGTAAAAGGAAAGTTTGCTCTTATGGAGAGTTGGACATTCGACACTTTCTCAGCTGGGAAATCAACCAAGAGTCTATGAAAACATAAATTCCGATTTGGAACAGTACCAAAAAGAAGTCCATCACCAGGACATGGCAATCTCAAACCAAAAAAATCAAGAAACTTTGATGCTATAAAAGCTACTGTTGCTGCACAAAGCAAGAAATATGCTATAGCAAGATCAACAAAAGCTCCCACAATACCACTCAAACTCCACATATACCTACCTTCACAAGACATTTTTCACCCCAAAATACTATTAAGAAGTTCCAACTTTACCAGTAAACAAAGTATAAACTTGCACAAAAACTGTAACTTTACTAGTAAACAAAGCAAAAAGAATACCTTTTTTCCTGATAAACTTGAAAAAGATTTGAACTTTATCCTCTTAACTCCACATATAGCTACCTTCACAACTCACAATCCATTTTCACCCCAAATATTGGTAAAACCTCCAACTTTACTAGCAAAAAAAGCATAAACTTGCACAATAGTTTCAACTTAACTAGTAAACACAATAAACTTGGAAAAGATTTGTACTTTATCTCTTTAACTCCATATATAGCTAACCTCACAACTCACAAGCCAATTTCACCTCAAAATACTTATAAAAATTCCAACTTTACTACTAAACAAAGTATAAACTCGCACAAAAATTGTAACTTTTACTAGTAAACAAAGTAAAGATCCCACCTTTTTCCTTGAACCAACTTACAAAAGATTCGAACTTTATCCCCTTAGAGATGACCAATTGATTCCTCCAAGAAAACCCAAGAACAAATTGACCAGAAAACAATACCCCATCAAATTTAAAACCTATGATCAATGAAAGAAACTGTTGTTTTCTTGATTTGGGTACCCTAATAATGACTGTTTTTGGTTTTCTTGATCATAGGATTTTCCTCACATGTGAAAGTTTTCTCTATTGATATTTAATTTTCTTGAAGGATTAATACGATGTCGTATGATAGACTTTACCTGTTTGATTAGTCATATGGTAATGATGATAAAGGTCATTTATTGTCAGCTCATTGTTGCTTCTACAGACACCACGTGCATTATTTGCATTTAAATATCATTCAAACTTTTATCCATTTTTAGTCATGTTAAGATTCTTGATCCATGCGTCTCGATTAATTTTATAAAATTAATATTCAATTTCTATCGAACTCCGCTAAAGATATTATCGATATGTATTGGCTATACACATTATGTATAAAATAGAGGTATTTATTTGATTATATAAATTAAATTTGGATGACTTCAAATTTTGGGAGCTAATTCCTTCTTTTGCATTTATAATTAAGTCTAACAACTCCTTTTTGATTGTACAAATGTTACTTTAATGGTTAAATATTTTTAACCTACATGAATACTAGTGTATTTATAGACAATAAGTTGACTAATGGGTTAATTCATAACTCGATCAAATAATATTTTCGAAAAACGCAAAAAAAAAATCTTTCTAATAAAAGGTACTTAAAAAAGATTAAAACTTAGATATTATACAAACAAGTAAACTTGGATAATGTACAAACTAAGTACTTGCATGTGGAGTTCAACATGTCTCGTCTTTCTAGATCATCAAACAAATATAGGAGGAGGAACATATGTCATCTAATATCACATCGCGATAGAGCTTAAATGAAACAATAAGGATTCATATAGCGGGCTTTACTCAGGAACTAGTCATCATCCATTGCACTTGTGTCATATTGTTCTCCACAGGCAAGACATCTCCGTTAGCTAAAGCTCGTGGTCTCTTCTTTAAAGCACTGATGCTCGTGGGAGACGCCGTGGTTGTAGTCGATGACAGGCATTCACCGATGCTAGCAGGCATATCGGAAGCATTTTTGTTCTCAAAACTAGTAACGACTTCAGGTAATGAAGAAACTGGGACAATCCCATCACAGTTGTTCGTCGCGCCTTTGATTGCTAATTCAGAAAGCTGTTCCCTAGCAGTGTCTAGATCAGGAGATTCCACGGAGGTATAGTTCAGAACTTTACATGCTTTCTCGAGTATCGTTTGCAAATACTTGCCCTGTGCTTCGATACGAAGCTGGACATGGCGTTGTACCTGATTCAACAAACCACAATAACTACCATAAACTAACCTTCATATAAGAACTTAATAAAGAGATGATGTGACATTTGGTCCTACTGTTTGGGGAAAACCGTGACGGGCTAGAACGGCCGAAAGAGGACAATATCACACCATGTTAAGAGTATTTTTCGGGTTGGGTTAGCCCAACGAGGAGTTGAGACTCATAGTTACACAAACATTACAAATGAGCAAGAAAAAGGGGAAGAGACCGACCTCTAGCTGCTCTTGTAGTCTTCGTTGAACTTCCATCTGTACTCGAAAAGCCTCGGTAACTTGGTATCCACAACTGAGAAAGATGTAAGAGCATATCAAATTGATGCAAAGTACAACACTTTATTTCTAAAGAAGAAACTCGGAAGATACTACATACTCATTTATGTCCTGGGCAACTACTTTTGATGAACCCGACGCTGAGGGACTTGTATCTTGACTCTCTGCCACACATGATTCTGTTAACACACATAGCTAATAACAATGTAAGAATTAGGATTCAACTGCTCAAAAGGGTAAGATATAGCAACAACCGTCTTTTCTTCGTTATGGAAATAGTTATCCGCGTACTCACATGTCCATATATATATCCTTCCCTAATTCACATATACTATCATACCCATCATACATTCCTCTCAGAGATGTCAATAGTAACATACCAACAGAAATAATAATATTTAAAGCAAATGGCCAAAAAAGTACAGTACTATTTGAAGTTAACAAAAAGTTCACTCTATAAATAGCTTCGCGAATGGAAAGAGAGCAACAAAAGAAGAATGGCAATCAGATACTTGAAATCTTGAATCCGAACATCATTCTTATAACATTTATTTTGTTGTTGTTATTAGAGGTTTTCAGCAGTTTTTATCTTTTAGGAATTAAAGGGGACATGAAGAGACTGATACAGAGAAAGCATTTCTGGATTACTGAAGCCTAACGACTTCGGTGAAGCATCTTTCAAAATTAAGCCAGGTATATCCAGATTACAACAACAAAATATCGAGTGTAGTCCCACAACTTGGGGTTTGGGAAGGGTAGAGTATACACGGACTTTATCCCTAACTCAGAGATAGGATGTTGTTTCCAATAGACCCCCGGCTCAAGGAAAAACAGTCCAAAGCAGTCACGAAAATGAATGATTGAAAGCAGTGCATTGAATTGTAAGTACATAGTCATTAACGCGTCGTTTAATGTTTTTAAGGTAATGTAAAAGTTGCAAGAACGCTAAAAAGTTAGGATAATTAGTAGGCATTGATTGGAGTATTCAAATACCATCTTTATAGCTCTCGGCTGCCTCCTTAGATTGCTTCCCTAGGCGATATTTCTGCAAGGACATGTAAAATATAAAGAGTTCAAGGATCTGCCTGCAAACTAGAAGAAAAAAACTGTGAACTACTTTTTCTTGATCTCTTTCTATTATGATTTATGGCCCGAATCCTTTTGCTTTTCTTATTTCGATATGAAACTTTTTTCTATAGCTAAAACTGCGAGTCAAAATGAACTATATGTAGTCCATTTTTTTTGGCTAAAATGTGAGAACACATCATCAATTGAATATTCATCAACAACAACAACTATGCCTCAATCCTAAGCAAGTCGGAGTTGGCTATATCTATATAAATCATCACTAAACATGTGTGTTTCTCCACTTAAATTTTGTGTCAATCACTAATTCATCATTAGAGCCATTTTGTCAAAGTAAATATCATTGAAACCTAGAAGTTAGAACCATTTCACTCCTCAAGACTCACATTGAACTTGAACGATTTAATGTCTAGCTTCGTATCTAAATAAATTCAAATTTAGGAAGTTAAGTAAAATTCCGAAATTGGCTTAAACTTAACCTTAATTCAATTTTGTGAGACACTAGATTTAAGGTTTTAGTTAAACTAAAATCTTCACACCAAAGGCACATTGATTGAATAGAGGGAAACACGTCTTGGCAACTAAAAACAATTCTGTGCAGAACAGATGAGACGACAAAAAAACCTGGAGGTGTGACTTCAAATGATATAGGGTGAGTCCTTTCACCCCCATTGCCTTCATAATTGTTTTTGGCGTAGCCTCTGCAAAGTGAAGCAATAATTCCACAGTCAATATTGTGTCACTTACTTCAACCAAGACGAGTAATGAGAAGGTAAGATTCAAGACGAATCAAGAAAAGGTCTGAAGATTTACATATAGCAATACTACATGGTTGGCAATAATTGTAGTTCCAAGAAAATAACCGAACCAAAACCAAATAATTATGTGATCAAAATGCCATTAATTCATATTAACTTGCTTCCTAAGACGCCTAGAAATGTTACTATGTTACTCTAAAGTATCGTTTTCTAACAAAATTCTTTCATTAATCATAGGACTATTACCCGAGAGAGAGATGAACGAGCAGAAGTTAACGGTCAAATGATCAGGAGAAAGAGTTCTTAACTTTAAGAAACCAGAATCGCATGACGTACAGACATGCTGAACGTTAAGATGTGTAGTTATTGAAGCAGCGAATGTATACATCATCTAAAAACCCCTTCCCCAAGATAGTCTCTAGACGTTATCACAAATCTTTAATCATCAAAATCTCATCAAAACACTAATCAATTTACTTTTCACTCACCAACCAAACAACATTATTTTCCTATAAAATATTTACGACTATGAAAAATGATCCTACGAAAGTAGAAAAAGAAGACATAGTAATAGAAGTTAAAAAAGAAAAAGACAGACACATAAACTGAAATGAAGTAACATATGAATGTTACTAATGTATATAGTCTTGCAACTAAATAAATGAGAACTTTACAAGTCATTTTCTAGCAAAATATTTTTTTTTCCAAGAAAGCCTCTTAGTATAAGTCAATTTAATTTCATATCATTTACTCCAACAACATTATCCATCATTATCAATCTTCAATCTAAAAAACTTCATCCAAACACTATGCCAAATTGCTTATCACACGTAATCTTAGTAGCTCAGTTGGTTTGTCTACCTAAACTTTCACTACGAAAGTTCAATTCTCCACCTTGCAATCTCTCCCGCATTTCCCCTTCCCCTTCCCCTTCCCCTACTCCCAATTTCCGAAAATTTTAAAAATTGTTTTTCACTCACTAACCAAACAACATTATTTTCCTAGAAAGTACTTTCCACTATGGAAAATAATCCTACCAAAACTAGTACAACAACAACAACAACAAAAACAGTCTAATCCAATAAAGTAGCGTGTGTAGAGGGTATAGTGTACGCAGACTTTACCACTACCTTATAGTCGTTTCCAATAGACCCTAAAAGATAGTCACAAGCTACAAACATTTGTAAGACTATAAATCAATCTCATTAAAGGTACTAAAAAGCGAAAAAAGTGTCATATAAATTGAAACGAATAACGTACTATCTGGGCCACCGAGTTGAGAAACAGCATCCACAAATCTTTCATGTAGCTCCGCCGTCCACCGGAGTCTAGGCCTATGATCTGCCGTTAAAACCAAACAAGCATCCCCTGCCAAATTTGTCATTTCACCAGAAAGTGAACTCTGTAAACTAGGAAGATGATGATGATGATGATGATATTCATTAACTCCTCCATTTCCATCAATACCTAAAGAAGAGTACATTTTCATCCCAAAAGTTCAAAATTTCAAAGCTTTTCAAGCAAATGAGAGTGACCCACAACACTAATTTCCACTAAAATGAGCTCTAGTGGCAGCAAACATCATAAAGATTGAATCTTGATTAGTTTTTTTGGACATTCAAGAACAAATTTTTGACACCCAAATGGGTAAAATGGGTGGGGGTGGGCGTGGGGTGGAGGAATTGGCAGGACAAGACAGCTATGTCCTGTTGTGTACTGTCGTTT